AGGTCTGTTGTATTATCCTAGCAGTTATTGGATTGGCAGTAAGAATTATGTTTCAAATTATTCTATAAGCTATAGAGTATGAATAATTGTGGATCCAAATGCGGTTGTTTGTAGCTATTTTGTGATGATCATTAACTGTTTTAATTCATTAATTATTATTGATTATTATTTGTTCTTGATTGTTATTATTATATTTATATTGAATAACCAGATTAGTGCTTTACTGTATTGTAAGCTCTCCAATACCCAGAGTTTAGAACAGCTGGTATATGTAGCAAGCTGAAATGTTCTATTCTGCCACTTAGGCAATCCTATTCTCTGAATGCTGGTTGGTTGCTGGTTCTAGTAGGGATATTGTGATAGATAAATATCCATCATTCACCATTAAGTTTTACAGCTCACTCACCCCTGTCTATCAACTGGACACTAGTTTGGAACCTTCCTGTGAAGGTGAATATCACATTGGTTCTATATCTCCCCTCTCCCTCCCTCACATGTAGGCAAAGCCCTATGAGGAGTGGGCAGTTCTTTAAGGCCTGCTCTGTCATGCGGGATAACCTGGATAGGAATTTTTGATGATCTAAGGCATGTTGATGTATATGTGCCCTCTGTGGGGCATCCAATTGCTGCATGAGCATCATTACTGGGAGATATTAGGGAATCAAGATGCATGAGTTGCACATTAATGGTGGGGATTGGTAGTTCAGGAATAAGAAAATTTTCCTTCTCATATTGCTATTGAATAACCAGGTTAGTGCTTTGCTGTATTGTAAGCTCTGCAATACCCAGAGTTTTGGAACAGCTAGTATATGTAGCAAGCTGGAATGTTCGATTCTGCCACTTAGGCAATCCCATTCTCTGAGTCATGGTAAGTATTGCATTGATTCTACAATTTACTTGTGTTTATGTGTGCAATTGTAGTTTGTTATTTTGTTTATTAGTTATTTAAACTCTTTTTTATTTTAATGTTTTGTTTATTTTATATTATTTTTGGTGGGGGTAGGTTATCTTATTTCTATTAGCTTTGTTTAATGTATTTTAGATTGTCTGCTTTGTATATAGTGCATATATTTGCATTTTTTTGACAGTGTTTTATATATATTATACATTATTGGAGAGCAGTGGTTGACTTCCAATCAGTGCAAATTTCCCCATAAAAGGTATAAATCAATCTCTTCCTTACCCACTAGCTATGGGCTAAGTAGTAAGGGAAGAACGGTTGGAAACAAATCTAGAAGAAAAGCTTGGAATTCAAAACTTGAGGATCATTTGGAAACGTTGTGACAAATTATAGGCTCCAGTTCTTTGTATTTGGTTCTTCTGACAAGTTCGGTTGGTTCTGTACATGCCTTCACCACTCTAATTGAAACATATATATATAAATATATTTATAATTGTAATTGTAACATTTGCCGTTTCCTTCTAAGAAGCCATTTACCATTCCTACTGTCAGCTGAAATTTATAAAATCTTACTCTTAAAACAATATTTTCGGAAAATAAGTTTCTCAAATCCAGTAGCTGTTATTGCTTTTTCCAGTAGTGATTTCCTTCCTAATTTTTTGTTTGAATAAGTATGGAATGTCAACATCTTCATTATGCTATTATCTTCTCTTCCAGTGATACAAAATATCCATTTTAGCTTTTACTGTTGTTGAAAGACTGCAAGTGATATGGTTTCTATTATATGATATAATTCTTTGTTTTTGATTCTGTAACACCAGTCCATGAGGTTCGAAGAAAGATGGTACATTATTTACATTATTTGGACTATTGTCCTCATCTTTGTCACCATATTTATCACAACGTTTCGGCCGTTGTACGCTTCGGCCTTCTTATCGTGACAAAGATGAGGACAATAATCCGAACAATGTAAATAATGTACATAGTACCTCATCTCAGAAATATAGACAGATATGTTAGATGGTCTTTGCCAAAACCGACAGGCTTTACTCGTTAAAAGCCATCATTGTTCTGAGAATGTGGTTGCATGTAGCTGACAGTTTAGATATATCTGAACATGTTTGGTATTATACATGACATCAAAAAGGATATCTCAGTCTGACAAGGTTATTTAAAAACAGGACTCGAGTTTTCAGGTTAATTTTTTGGTTTTGTAGTAATTTGTGGTATTGTTCAAAACTACTTCTAGTGCTGCATAGTCAATGTTCAGTGATGTGTTTATGTCCGACAAAAGATTATATTTCAATTAAATTTGCAATAAAAATCCAATTCTATTTCTGTATATTTATCTTCGTACATATCCTGAATGTGAGTGAGTGTGTCTTTCTCTCTGTTGATTACAGTCTGTTTCTTTCATTCTTAAAGAATAAAATACAGAAAATACCAAATGGTGTTTATTATTAAAGAATTTGTTATGTTTTAATCAAATAAAAATCAGAAAAATGTGTGAATAAAATAAGAATGAAATGATACTGAATAAGTCAAGGTGAACGACAAACAACTTGGGGGGGAAATAGAAGGAAAAGTATGAAGAGTCTGAGATAAAAAAAGATTAGAAGAAACTGATAGAGAGATATGAAAAGAATGAGAGAGAGGGAGATGAGGAGATTGAGGTAGAAAGATAGATATGAAAAGATAGAGAGAAAGATATAAAGAGACCAAGATAGAAAGATATGAAGAGATCAAGACAGAGAGAAAGATAAGGAGAGACCAACGTAGAGAGAAAGATATGAAGAGATTGAAATAGAGAGAAAAATATGAAGACATTGAAATAGAGAAAGATGATAAGAAGACATTGAAATAGAGAGAAAGAAATAGAGAGAAAGATATGAAGACCAAGAGAGAAAGATATGAAGAGATATGAAAGATTGAAATAGAGAAAAGAGAAAGATAAGATATATGAAGAGACCAGAGATTGAAATAGAGATATGAAGAGAAAGAAATAGAGAGAAGAGATTGAAGACAGAGAGAAGAGATTGGAAGAAAGATGTAAAGAAGAGAAAGATTGAAGAGATAGAGAGAAAGATATGAAGAGATTGAAGAGAGAGAAATAGAGAGAAAAATATGAAGACATTGAAATAGAGAGAAAGATTGGAAAGAGAGAAAGATAAGAAGAGATTGAAATAAGAGATTGAAATAGAAGATAAGAAGAGATTGAAATAGAGAGAAAGAGAAGAGATTGAAATAGAGAGAAAGATATGAAGAGATTGAAATAGAGAGAAAGATAAGAAGAGATTGAAATAGAGAGAAAGATATGAAGAGATTGAAATAGAGAGAAAGATATGAAGAGATTGAAATAGAGAGAAAGATAAGAAGAGATTGAAATAGAGAGAAAGATAAGAAGAGATTGAAATAGAGAGAAAGATATGAAGAGATTGAAATAGAGAGAAAGATAAGAAGAGATTGAAATAGAGAGAAAGATAAATAGATGAAGAGATTGAAATAGAGAGAGAAAGATAAGAAGAGAAATTGAAATAGAGAGAAAGAGAGAAAAATAAGAAAATAGAAGAGATTGACAAAAATAGAGAGAAAGATATGAAGAGATTGAAATAGAGAGAAAGATAAGAAGACATTGAAATAGAGAGAAAAATATGAATAGACTGAGATTGAAATAGAGAGAAAGATATGAAGAGATTGAAATAGAGAGAAAGATATTGAAATAGATTGAAAATAGAGAGAAAGATAGAGAAAGATGAAATAGAGAGAAAGATTGAAGAAATTGAAATAGAGAGAAAGATAAGAAGAGATTGAAATAGAAGAAAAAGATAAGAAGAGATTGAAAAGAGATAGAGAGAAAGATAAGAAGAGATTGAAAAGATATGAGAGAAAGATATGAAGAGATTGAAATAGAGAGAAAGAAAGAAGAGATTGAAATAGAGAAGAAGAGATTGAAATAGAGAAAGATATGAAGAGATTGAAATAGAGAAAGATAAGAAGAGATTGAAATAGAGAGAAAAAGATAAGATAAGAAGAAATTGAAAATAGAGAGAAAGATATAAGAAGAGATTGAAATAGAGAGAAAGATATGAAGAAAGATTGAAATAGAAATAGAGAAAGATAAGAAGAGATTGAAATAGAGAGAAAGATATGAAGAGATTGAAAAAGATAGAGAGAAAAAGATAAAGATAAGAAGAGATTGAAATAGAGAGAGAAAATATGAAGATTGAAATAGAGAAAAAATATATGAATAGACTGAAGAGATTGAAATAGAGAGAAAGATAAGAAGACAATGAAGAGAGAAAATATGAGAGAAAATAGAGAGAAAATAAGAAGACATTGAAATAGAGAGAAAAGACATAGACTGAAATAGAGAGAAAGATAAGAAGAGATTGAAATAGAGAGAAAGAGAGAAAGATATAGAGAAGAGAAGAGATTGAAATAAATAGAGAAAGATAAGAAGAGATTGAAATAGAGAGAAAGATATGAAGAGAAATGAGAGAAAGATAAGAAGAGATTGAAATAGAGAGAAAAGATAAAAGAGATTGAAAGAGAGAATTGAAATAGAGAAAGATAAGAAGAGATTGAAAAGATAAGAAGAGATTGAAATAGAGAGAAAGATAAGAAGAGATTGAAATAGAGAGAAAGATATGAAGAGATTGAAATAGAGAGAAAGATAAGAAGAGATTGAAATAGAGAGAAAGATAAGAAGAGATTGAAATAGAGAGAAAGATATGAAGAGATTGAAATAGAGAGAAAGATATGAAGAGATTGAAAGAGAGAGAAAGATAAGAAGAGATTGAAATAGAGAGATATGAAGATTGAAATAGAGAGAAAGATAAAGAGATTGAAATAGAGAGAAAAGATTGAAATAGAGAAAAGATATGAAGAGATTGAAGAAAGATTGAGAGAAATAGAAAGAAAAAAAAGAAGAGATTGAAAGAAAAATAAGAATATAGAGAAAAAATATGGGAAAGAAAATAGAGAGAAAGATGAAGACATTGAAGAGAGAAAAAGACATAAATGAATAGACTGAGGTATAAAGAGAAAAAGATTGAAATAGGAAAAATAGAAAAAGAAGGCATTGAAATAGAGAAAAAATATGAATAGAGACAATGAAATAGAGAGAAAGATAAAAAGAGACCTGTCTCTCTATCTCAGTCTTTGCATCAGTCTCTCTAACTCAGTCTCTTTGTATCTCTCTATAACAGGCTCTTTGTATCAGTCTCTCAATTTCAGTCTCTTTGTTCTGTCTCTCTATCTCCATCTATTTTTACCTGTCTCTCTATTGCCATCTCTTTGTATCACTCTCTAACAGTCTCTGTGTATCAGTCTCTTTGTATCTATCTCTCCATCTCCATATCTATCTATCTATCTATCTATCTTTACACTTATCTCACTCTCTTTGTTTCTTTCTTTTATTCTATCTTATTCTCTTTATATCTTCCACTATATCTTTTGATCTCAGTCTCTTCATATCTATCTAACAATGTCTCCCTTGATCACCCCTGCCTTGTACCGTTCATCTGACTGAAACATCTCAGTCTCTTCATATCTATCTAACAATGTCTCCCTTGATCACCCTCCTACCTTGTACCGTTCATCTGACTGAAACATCTCAGTCTCTTCATATCTATCTAACAATGTCTCCCTTGATCACCCTCCTGCCTTGTACCTTTCATCTGACTGAAACATCTCAGTCTCTTCATATCTATCTAACAATGTCTCACTTGATCACCTCCTGCCTTGTACCTTTCATCTGACTGAAACATCTCAGTCTTTTCATATCTATCTAACAATGTCTCCCTTGATCACCTCCTGCCTTGTACCTTTCATCTGACTGAAACATCTCAGTCTCTTCATATCTATCTAACAATGTCTCCCTTGATCACCCCCTGCCTTGTAACTTTCATCTGACTGAAACATCTCAGTCTCTTCATATCTATCTAACAATGTCTCCCTTGATCACCCCCTGCCTTGTACCTTTCATCTGACTGAAACATCTCAGTCTCTTCATATCTATCTAACAATGTCTCTCTTGATCACCCCACTGCCTTTTACCTTTCATCTGACTGAAACATCTCAGTCTCTTCATATCTATCTAACAATGTCTCCCTTGATCACCCCCTGCCATGTACCTTTCATCTGACTGAAACATCTCAGTCTCTTCATATCTATCTAACAATGTCTCCCTTGATCACCCCCTTTTTTTTTTTTTTTTAAGCTTTTCACCCCAAACAAGGCAGAAAGCCAATAGGATGACAGGGGTTCATGAAAATTTGGAGCAAGATCAGAAAGGAGTGATAGAAGAACGGATGAGGAGGTGGGTAGTGGTTAGATCAAGGCAACTGGAGATATCGATTGACATTACATTTGAATAGATCAAGGATCTGTCTATCTCTGTCATTTTACATCATTCTATATCATCTTTTTATATCTATTTCAGTCTGTTCATGTCTATCTCAGTCTGCTTTCATCTTTTTTTTATCTCAGTCTCTTCGTATCTCTCTTTCTCTCTGTCCCATTATCATCATACCTATCTATCGATATCTCTTTATACCTATTTATATCTCTTTCTAAGCTACGTAATATCTCTCTCTTCTTCCTCTCAGCCTCTCTATATCCAGCTGTACATATATTTGTTTCTCTCTTCATATCTACCTCTCTGAGGTAATTTGTTGTCCATCTTTAATAAAAGCTATATTTCAATTATCTTGGAAAAGGATTTCATCTGCACAGGTAAAATGCTGAAATGAAATCCCTTTTAGTTTTTGCATATTTTCAAGCTCACTCAGCTCTTCAAACAAGGAGTCCATGTTTTAATTTCTTTTTTTCTTTTTTGGTTATCTTCCTGACTACAATTGCAATATAGACACAATCCAAACATCTGGTTGTACACAAAGCTTTTCCATTTGTTATTGGTTATTATTTTCTGAGTCTTCAATAAACTGAGGAAAATCTTCTTTTAATGAAACTCTTAACAGTCGGATAATTACAGAAAAAAAAATGAAGACATCTCAATGTCAGATGGAGATGAGTTTTTTTTTAATTTGAGTCCATTCAGAAGATATTTTTTTTATTTGCAGAATCTATTTAAACAGGATCCAAAATGGCCTCATTTTTTTGCGGGTGCTGATTGGAAGCAAATTTTGGTCTTAGTGCATTTTTAACATAAGCAAAATAGAAGGGAAACTATTTCATATTTTTCCTTTCTTTCACTTCTATCCCTTTATCTTTTTCTGGTCTCAGCTTTCTTTTTTACTCTTCCTTTTTCTTCTTTCTCATTGCTTTCTCCTGCAAATCCTTCTAACAAAACTTTGTTTCTTCTTCATTCAGTTCTTCTTTCAGTTCTATCTGTTCTTCATCTTCTGTTTTCAAATTATCTATCTCTCTGTTTATGCCTCTTAATATAAATCTCACTCTTTATATCTCTCCGTATATATGCATATCTATCTATCTTTTTCCTCTTCATCATATTATTATTATTATCATCATCATCATCATCATCATCATCATCATCATATTATCATCATCATCATCATCATCATCATCATCATCATATCATCATCATCATCATCATATTTATTATTCTTCTTCTTCTTCTTCTTCTTCTTCTTCTTCTTCTTCTTCTTCTTCTTCTCATATCAGACAAAAGAGTAAGTAGTTGGGGTTAAATGACTCCAGGACATTTTAAACGTAACAAATATTGTAAATATTTTTGTTTGCTTTAAGTTAATGTTTATGACTGAGAACAATGTTTGAATGTAAATGTTGTTGGTGAATCGAGTCTATTATGCCTTATAAATAATAAGTATAATGTGTGTTTGGCTCCTTCGAATAATAATCGGAATCTTGATAATAATAACAATTGTAAGAAGTGGAAGGAGAAAATCAAGTAAGAATTTCTATCATGATTTATTCGGACAATAATGGAAAGAAAGGGGAAAAGAGTGGAAGAAGCAAAATAAAGGATGAAATAAAGAAAAAAATGGCTGAGATTTATTATAATAGAATTTGTTATGTTTTATTTGAATAAAAATCAGAAGAATGACTGGATGGGAATAAGAATGAAAGTATGATGAAGAAGTAAGTAGTGAAAAAAAGAAAAGAATTTATGAAAGAAATAGGGAAAGATGAATAGTCTTGGAAGGGATGAAGACTAAGCAGGAGGTGGGAGGTTGTGGAGTAGTCATAGGAGCAGAACAAAAGAAAGAAGGAGGAGCAAGAGGAGAAGGATGAAAGAGCAAGATGAAAAGGAGGACTGAACAAAGTCAAGAAGTTGGAGGAGAAGATTAATGAACAGGAGGAAGGAGGAGCAGGCTGAAAACAGAAGGAAGCGGATGGAGGTGCAGGTTGAGGTATGAGAGAAAACCAAAATAACCAGGAGGAGGAGAAGTGAGGAGTAGGAAGAGGAATAAAATTAAAAGAAGTTAGAGGAGAGAGAGCAGAAAAAGGAGGAAGAAAAAGTCGAAGAAAAGGCGGCTTTAAATTATGACAAAAGGAAAGATGAGAGAATGAATTACAAGAGAAATTAGAAGCCATAATGGATATATTTTTTTTTTGTGAGCAAATTGTGAAGAATATTCAAAGAGTAAGCAAAAAAGATTCCTCTGCCGCTTCTACCTCTCCCAGTTGTTATTCTTAAAATGGACAAATATCTCCCCAAACAATAAAGTTAATACTTTGCCAGGAAGCTCCTGAAACAAGATGGCTTGTTCTACTTTTAAGGAGACGGGCATTTGACTTCTATTAAACGATAAATTATTTGTTTATCGTTTTGCTTTCATTTCATTTTTATTTTTAAACTGAAGCAACCTTTAGCATTAAGGGCTTTTAAGAGCCATTAATATCCCAAGAAAAAAAAACATATTAGAAACTGATTGGACATAATATTAATAAAAGAAAAATGTTGTTTATTTGGACATTTCATTCATATATTGCCCCAAATACACTTTAGTCCCCCAAGCATTTATTCATGAAAACATAGGCAATTCTTCAATTTGGTTTGCTTTTTAAAATTTGGAAGAAATAAAATGGAACCAGAGAATACAGAAGCAGATATTTCTTTGTTGAAATCATCTTCATAATAAAAGAAATATCATAAAAAAATGCTAAGACAAACATGGAAGCAGATGTTCTCAGAATTTCACATGGAATGAAGCAGTTGACAGTGTTTTAAAAAAATAAAATCACATATTTTATGCATGCTGATGAGTGTAAAAGTTCAGAATTTTAAATGTTGATTTTTTTCTAAGTCAGCAGCCTGATTGAAACAACCTTATCTCCCGTATCTCACAATTCCCTATTTGACTTTGTACCAGACTTAAATCAAAATTATGAAGGAGAATATTTTTCACATTCTTTTTACTCCTAGTGGGAATTTTTTTTTTTTTTCAAATTTCATTAAAAATGCTATTTTTTCATCTCTGAGGCCATATATACCATCAAGGGCAATGTGAAACATCATATCGACAAAATATCTTTTTGATTGCTCCAGGACAATCATTGCTTTTACCACTTTCATCTTCTGTCTATCAATTATTTTAAATCATAATCTGTTTCACTGCCAGAGTAAGAAGACTCAGGATGAAGAAATTTCTAATGAGATATATTATGTCAGCTTTTCTTATTTAAATATTGCCAACATTAATAGGTTAATACTACTTTTGTTGTAGAAAAAAATTGATTTTCATCATATGTTATAATGTTCAACTTGGGGGTTATATTTACAGCATTTCAGTCATACATTCTGGCCTTCTTCAGGTTTCTATATTCATACTCCACAGTGGGCTCAAAAGAAATCTAAAGGGAGTGCCACAGGTGGGAAGTGTTAGAAAAGAAACACTTAGAGTAGAAGTGTTGGTTGCATCTAGCTCGTTCAACAGTAAAATGGTGGGACCTAGTTGCCAAATCTAGTAGCACACTTAAATTCATATTGTTGAGGCACTAGGGGGAAAAGCTCATCAAAGTAGTTGCCATAAAAATATTTGTAGAAAAGACAGAGGAAAACTTTGTCACATCGTTGAGAAAGTGACTGTAGTGTTGTCTGGCCAAAATCATTACAGACTCTTCTTTGTCAATGATATTGAGATGTACAGTAGGATCACCAGACTAAATATAGCAACAGTATTCAATGCATCAACAAATGGTAGATTTATAAATATGCAAGATGGATTCTGGTGAGAAAAATCTTCTGGTACAGTGAACCAACTTTCTTTGTTATAGACAAATTAATTGATTCAGTATAGTTGCTCAACTTCATGTCAGTGGAAAACCTCAGGCCAAGAAGGCATAGTGTCTTGCTCTCCTGGAGTTTAGCATCAGCGATGCTGATTGCAGACAGAAATGGTTCTCTTCACAAAAATTCAAACCCCTCAAGTTGGCATAAATAGTTCAGCATATGTGAAGAATTTTGGTGACTTATTAAATAAAATAAAAAAATATAGCCATGGAAAGTAAAGTTATCAATAATAATGAATCCTAGTAGAACTTTTAATTCTCTCAGAATTGCCTCACTGTAAAGGTTGAATAAGTCTGGCAAGAAGACACATCCTTGTCTTATGCCCCTTTCTAGTTTTGTCTATTAATTGAATTTTCTTCTTTTCATATGTAGGCAGTTTGCTTCCAAAGTTCTGGATTATTCTAATATCCTTCCCAGATATATCAAGTTTAACTAACAATTCCAAGAGTTCTTTATGATGTACTTTAACTTTTCTAGTTGCCTCCATATTTTTAGTATATCAGGTCTGTACTGATTATTCAGTATCTGTTTATATCTCTGAGATGAGGTATTATGATTATTTGCATTATTTACATTATTCGGACTGTTATCCTCATCTTCATAGCCATATTCACAACGTTTCGGCCGTTGTACTCTCCGACCTTCTTCTGGTGATTGGATCTCTGAGATGAGGTATTATGATTACTTGCATTATTTACATTATTCGGACTGTTATCCTCATCTTCATTGTCATATTCACAACGTTTAGGCCGTTGTAATCTCCGACCTTCTTCTGGTGATTGGATCTCTGAGATGAGGTATTATGATTACTTGCATTATTTACATTATTCGGACTGTTATCCTCATCTTCATTGTCATATTCACAACGTTTAGGCCGTTGTAATCTCCGGCCTTCTTCTGGTGATTGGATCTCTGAGATGAGGTATTATGATTACTTGCATTATTTACATTATTCGGACTGTTATCCTCATCTTCATAGCCATATTCACAACGTTTCGGCCGTTTTACTCTCCGACCTTCTTCTGGTGATTGGATCTCTGAGATGAGGTATTATGATTACTTGCATTATTTACATTATTCGGACTGTTATCCTCATCTTCATTGTCATATTCACAACGTTTAGGCCGTTGTAATCTCCGGCCTTCTTCTGGTGATTGGATCTCTGAGATGAGGTATTATGATTACTTGCATTATTTACATTATTCGGACTGTTATCCTCATCTTCATTGCCTTATTCACAACGTTTCGGCCATTGTACACTCTGCCCTTTATGTCTATGTCTCTCTATATATCTGTCTGTATCTCTCAGATGAAGTATTATGATCACTTGCATGATTTACATTATTCGGACTGTTATCCTCATCTTCATTGCCATATTCACAATGTTTCAGCTGTTGTATGCTCTGGCCTTCTTTAGTTCAGTTTCAGTTTGAAATTCCAACCACCTGAAGAAGGCTGGACCATACAACAGCCGAAACGTTGTGAATATTTTAAAGAAGATGAGGATAACAGTCCGAATAATGTAAATATTTAACAAATATTTTTGTATAATATATAAACCATCAAGAATAAATATTGAATCAGCTCTGATGTCAAAATTCAAACTGCTTGATCAAGAGTAGATTTTGGAAAACATATCACCTTTTCTGGCTTTCATCTATATAAAATTATTAAATTTCCTGTTTTTTACTTACCTATGTATACTATATTACTTAAAAATTAAAAGCAAAAAAATGAATGTCTTGTAAAATACCATATGATAAATGTAAATATATAAATTATATACAATGTAGATAATGAAAAATATTTCAGGCAAAGTTAATAACTTAAACTAAACAAATCAGATAACCGAACCACAATAAAAATTTTTAAATAAATAAAATAAACAAAAATTCTGAATAATTATATGAACAAATTAAATAATAAACAAATTAGCACACTACAGATACACACATGAATGCAACTAAATTCTAATAATAATAATAATCAACAACAAATAATTAGGTAATAAATTATAAATCAGAATAAAAAGTTAACACGATAAAATAGCTACAAATAATCACAATTCAAATCCATATTTATTCCTACTGAATAGCCTCTAGAATAATTTGAAACATAACCTTATTGCTTACACAAAACCATTAGGATAATGCAATAAATCTTTCTACCAGTAATACACCATTGACCAGCATATTCAAACAAAACAACATACACATGACCTGAAGAGAGTGTTCAAGAATGAAACATACTGTTGATGCTTAGTTTTAGCCTCAATGCCCACTTTTAAATCTATTTCTGATAATGAGTACTTTTACCTATAAATATATCATACCTTAAAACTATTTTTATATATATATATATATATATATATATATATATATATATATATATATATATATATATATTCTGATGTAAAAATCTCA